TATAATAATCGTTAAAATAAAAAGCTATAAATATATATATTTAGAAATGAAGGCTTATACACAGATGCTTCATGGTACGAAAATATATCTACATAGAGATTTGTTTAAGATAAATCATAGACTGGTTTTTAAACCTCTACTTTGCCTCATCAAATATCTGATGTACAATACTTGCTGAGCGTTCAACAATCTAACAGATAGTATAACATTGTTGTAGTATGAGACTAATGTATAATATTATTGTAGTATGAGAACAAGAGATTTCCTTTGCTATCTGCTTCATCAGATTGGAAAGTATCATTATTAAACAACATTATGAGAGTATACTTGCTTCTTGTTTTAATTGCGGAAGATGCAAATAAAAAGGACAGACTTATATCTGCAATAAAATTACGATATAAATATATACGATAGTATATAAATACAACAATAAAATCAGTAGGAAAAATCATAAGGAATATACTGTGTTCTAGTGAAATCAAAGTGTGTTAAAGAATTTGCATGAAAACATAAGATATGTGTAATGTTCGCTATAATGGATAGATTATACAATATTGGTTCTCTTACAGTAGCGTGCCAATTTTGAGAAATTGTTTTCTGGTTCAATCAATATATCGAAATAGTCAATGTATTTCAAATACATGTATCTTCCATCAATAAATCCATTGTATATTTCACAAGAGGTACAGCTTTTCTCAAATTATCTTCTATGACCAAGATAAATAAATGAATGTAACATTATAATTATCCTGTTATCAGCATATTTTGTTGCAATAAACATATCAATAGGATTGCGAACATTTTTTTTATATTAATATTGAATATTTCCCAAGGTATATAGTTACTAATATATTCATCTTTTTTTTCATTTAGTTGTGGGGACTTTCCACGTATTTGATGTTGTACTTTTTGTAATTCCTGTTACTATTCTATAGTAAATTATTCAGAGATGAAATGATGTCAATGATTACTTTCAATAATGCGATACAACAGAATATTATTTATCATGTCTCTTCTGAAGCAGGTATAATTTAAAAAAAAAACTGGTTTATAGAGTTGATCCTATATTACATAACTACTTTGACTGCTTCGGCAGATGAAACATTTTCTGATGAAATTTATTGTACAAGATATCTAAAAAAAGATATTATTTTTCTCTGCATAGATTCGGAAATATCTATATTAAAGATTAAAAATAAAAATAAATAATAGAATCTTCTTCGATTAATTTTAAAAGATTTTACACAAATAAAACATAATATGTATATTATATATAATATATTCAAAATATTCAGCAGAGCTATGTACAAATGATAATCATATATCCTCGACAATTTTGCTTCTTTTAAGTGTATCCATATTTATTTAAAACTATTTGATACAGTTGAAAATTTTATTAAAAAAGAATTCACTAAGTTATATTATTTTTTATATTTGATAGTTTCAATACATCCTGTCTACTAACATTGAGGATTGATCTTCTAGGAAATAACATCACATTTCTTGATTGAAATTTCGCGCAAGAAGCGAATGATTGTGGATGATACATCGAGAAAGACAAATAAGAAAAAAATTGTATTAATCTGCTGTTGTAATCATATTTATCCTTATGGTAGCCTCGTTAATCGAAGCTATACGCTTAGACACGTTGTATCGCACGTATACGAGCGTGAGAAAAAAATTGCCGGTAATGTATGCTAAAATGGTTTTAGTAATAAACTTAATGAGTTTTGGTATCGTATACATTCCTATGATTATCATCTTACATTGAGCGAATTTAATAAGCCAATGACGCATTCATGAATATTTGTTAAAATATAACATACAGGATATATAGGCCAAAATGCGTACTACGATCGGGAAAAAAATACAAAAATTAATTATAGGATTAATCAATCTTTCTACAACGTTTCGTTGTCAAGAGACTCAATCTTGAAAGTTGGATGATGATATATTTTTTTTTCTCTCTATTAATAACTTCTGCTATTAATTGGGATCTATTTTCGCTTTTTACGCATTATAGTTTACGATTATAATGAAATTGTACTTAGAATAATTTAATTTTTAAAAATTCATGATTGACAAAATGTAAGAACAGATATGTTTATAATTGATCCTAATTAAAACTGACAAGAAACTTTTCATATACTTTGTAAAAAACGTACGACGCAAATAAAGAAAACGTAACTAGTAAATCATATAACAACAAATAGTAATTAGTTTAATGCGTAGGAATGTATTCCATCGGAATTATTAAAAAAAAGGCCATACGTAATACATATACCTCATATACTTTTTTGTTTTTACCGTTTCGAAGATTATACGACGCACGCATTGACATAAATAAAGATATAAATTGCTAATTATTCGTAATTATTTATAATAACGCAAAAAGTATTAGTAACAATTAGCTTCCGCAATTGGCAATTATCATTTGTAATAATCGATTTATTCGTTTTCTTTGCATATATACATTTATGTTGCCGCTAATTTTCTCGCCGGAAGTTGAAAAAACTAGAAATCACGGTATTTCCATTTCATATCTTGAGGAAAAAAATACATTAGGATTCCCGCAATTATATATTCCAGGATGACTTTCAAGATGGTCAACGATATTCGACAATTGCTTCTTCGATATCAGCAAAGACAATCGCTTATAATCGACGTGAAAAACTATGATGTTCGACAACCATATTGTCTTGTCCATATACAGTATGAAGTAATAAATTTATATTCATCGACCGCGCGCGCGCGCGTAATCTCCTAGTCACATGTTAATCGCTAATCACACACATATTACATATTATATTTGCATATTATATTCGATGAAATATTTTTCTCTAACTTGAAGACTAAGTAGAGATATAGTTTCAAGATTATATTTATCTGTATTCATCTTGACTCCTTTTCGACCTAGAAGAAACAATGACCGTAATGATATAAATTGATAGATTTTATTGTCTTTTTATGGTCAAAATTTTAAATTCCGGTTGATTCTGTACATTATTTTTGTACAAGATAAAAATGCTTATATCAAAAATATCGTCTACTTAGATAATCAAAAATATCTTCTATTTAGATAGAAAGATAAATAATTGAAGACAGATTATAGATTCTTTAAAAAAATTGTTTTTCGCGTGCATTTATTTATTCTTTAGCATCATTATTTCCTGATCACATGCACATACATTTTCATTTATTAGAAATACAATTTGCGCCAAGTGAAATATAGCGATCAGGTCAATCTAAGTTAATATAGCGGAGGTTATCGTAGATTCATTTGATACAAACGCATGACGACTTTCGGATTGAGAGCAATCTTATAATTTTTAGTTACTTAAACAAATATTTCTTCTCGTATGTCTCATGCACTTTATGCTAAGTATGCAAATCATAAATCACTGTAAGAAAATTTAAAAAACGCTGATGACGGACGAGCGACGAACTATCGCTTGTTTTTTTTTTTTACGCGTTATTTTTAAGTAAATTATTATTTCTAAGTAAATAAATTAGCGTAATCTTTTAAGTCAATTAAGATTTGTTACTTTCCATTCGATTTAATTCCAATAATATATCAAATTGTAAAAATATTAGGATTCACAAAATTCTTAGAAAATAATTTAAAAATTTATCCTGTTTTATCTTGTTAGTCATTCTAACCAACATGATATTTTCTTAACTTAAAATTAATTAGTGGTTGAAATATTTTGCATTATAAATTGACCAACTATTGATGAAACGATAGCATTTTATAAAAGTTTGTATAATCGATTCCTAACTCTGAGAAATCTGCGGTTGTAACAGATTGCAATAGTTTTGCAACATGAATTAGAAAACATTTTATCTCTCATGAATACGGAGAATATATATTTTACAGTTAATCTTCTTCTTATATCTTAATTCACGTTTTTTTAATGTGCACTTCACGGAATATGTGCACATTTCGTAGAAACATATACATATATGTATCGTGCGCAATTATTTGAAATCTAAATAAATCGCGTAATTTGTGTGTGTTTTATTCTTTATTACATACATTTTGATTAATAACTAAATGAAGATGTGTAAAGAACGCTTTAATAATTTTTAAGAAATATTTTTACGTTTTTACCTCGTAATATTGTATTTATATTATAGAGATAGCTTATGCTGGAAATTTTGGACTTAAATAAAATTTTGGATTGAAAACAATAACATATGTGTGAATTTTATGTTTTAATATAAATTTTTTTCTCTTTACATTGTAGCGATTGTTCTTCTTCATACGGAGTATTTTGTGAAAATAGGCAGATCATGATTATCACTATGATAGAGTAAATAATTATGTATTATTAGCGATTATATCAGATGATAAATCTTTAAAATGGCATTGAAGCTCATCGTGAAAAATCCGCTGGAAGCTGCAAACGGCCTTCGTAAAACGCTTTGCATTATCAGCTTAGATATGTCATCTCCGAAGATTGTTTGACAATTAATCATTAAATCATTGGTAATGTCAATGATCAATTTCACTCTTATCGAGTAACGCTTTCTTATATTATTTTTCATCGTTTAATTCATGAACTATCGACCACATGTGTGTAGGCATTTATTACATTTCTATATAAATAACTAACATCGATATGTGTGTCTATATATAATTATATAATACATTGTGTTTATAACAATAGCCAGACAATGTATAAATAGTAATAATGCAATAATCACAAAAGAAAGTTGCTTTGTCTATACGATTCTGTTACCTGTCAATACATCATGATTAAATCTCTTGTTTCAATAACTGTCTATATTGCCTGGCCTTCATGAGCATCGTTTATTTGAATCATACAACATAATAGTCTTTTACTATAAATAACTTTACTAAAATGAAAAATTCCTTTATTTTCCATACTTCTTTGAAAAGAAGCATTTAATCTATACGATAATACTAAAATTATTGCTTTAACATAAATGATTCTCAGGAGATTCTTATTTGAATATACTTGATATACTACTTAATTAATTTTATGAATCTATTCTTGAAATAACGAGAGAGACTCTCTTTTTGTCTTAGGATAGTTTTTTAAAACAAATTTGTTTTACATTGTTTTGTATTATATAATAGCATAAAATACCAGTTCATCAATGTCAATCGCAGGATAGACAAGAGTGAGAAGATCTGCGATGACAGACCCGTATCCCGTTCAGGATATATATATCCACCGCCGATTACCTTCACCTTGGCTACGCATCCAACGCATTTTTTGCTCCTGTTGTTTCTCAATCCGAGCTACGTTCAACGAAAGAGCCGGTGTTTTAGGAAGGAATGAGCGACCGAAGTGGGAGGCAAGATATAAAGACTTGGTAACTGCGGCTGATCGGGATAAGAAGCGGATATCATCATGTGGCAGTACCGGACGATCGGCCTTTTGGCCTTACTGCTGCTTGCAGCGTGTATCCAAGCGCGAGGTAAATTACTTTCGAATTTGTATCAACGTCTCGTTATCGTCATTAATAGTCTCATCTCTTTTGCCAGGATACATTTTATTTTTGTCATCATTTTTATTATAAAGCGAGAGAAGAATCTTGAGAATTGTAAGGCAATAAAACTATGACTTATTACTATCATTAAAAAAAGAATGATATTCTCAGTCTCCGAGAAATAATACAAGATGACATTACTTGTTTTTAAGATTTTAAACTATTAATAAGACGGTGATAATTTTTTCGTGACATAATACGTCTTCCTTTTTATAGCTTCGCGATCATTTCTTGCTTTCAAAGAAGGCTCATTATGAAAATACGAAATAGTCATGTAACATATAATTCAACTTTTTTCTCTATGCAGAAATCAATAACAAATCTTAAATACGGAACTTAGTTGCAACTACAGATAACAGATTACAGATAATTGAAGTACTTGAACTCTGACCCAAGATAATCCATTATTTTGCTTAATGCATATATAATTCCTTGTAAACATTCAGCAATTATTTGCACTTGCTGTATAATACAAGTAGAAAAGAAGAATTCATATAAAATATCATCAGAGATATATGAATATTTCGTATGATATCAACATGGTTGAAGTTACTTTTTCAACGATTTTTATGTTAACATTGAGGGTATAAAAAAACGATTCTCTCAATTTGTCGCAGAGACCGAATTACTGCGTTCGAAGCGTTACAGTGGAAGTGGAGGATCATACTCCTCCAGCAGTGCCAGCAGTTCGGCCAGCGCAAGTTCGTATGGGGGTGGTAGCAGTTATTCCAAATCCAATGCTCAAGCTGCCGGCGGTGCCACAGCAGGTGCCTCGGCATTGGCGAATGCCGCTGGATACGGAGGAGGCGGTGGTCATGATGGTTTCGGTGGCGGTGGTCATGATGGTTTCGGTGGCGGTAGCAGTGGTCTAGGAGGTGGCGGTGGTCTAGGAGGTAGTGGCGGTGGTCTAGGAAGTGGCGGCGGTCACGGCGGTTATGGAGGCGGTGGCTCTGGAGGTCATGGAGGTGGCAGTGGCAGTAGCGGTCTAGGTGGATTCGGAGGCGCCGGTGCTGGTAATTTCATTTTTATCGATTTAATCTTTTGCTTGTGCAATTAATCTTTTTTATATAAATGTTTTTAGGAACCGGAGGAGGCAGTGGAGGCTACGGTGGTGGTAAGTCTAAAACGAACCGGAGGAGGCAGTGGAGGCTACGGTGGTGGTAAGTATAAAACAAAAAAGTTCGCATGTATTATTAATATCTTTGTCAACTACGAATAATTAAATGTATAACTGAATGTATAATCATGCATAAAAAATATTTCGTTCCTCTTATAATGTATTTGCAAATATCTTATTTAAAAAAAGTAGTTATAATTATTTATTTATAATATATAATATATTGTGTAAATGTTTTTAGGATCCGCAGGAAGCAGTGGAGGCTACGGTGGTGGTAAGTATAAAACAAAAAAGTTCGCATGTATTATTAATATCTTTGTCAACTACGAATAATTAAATGTATAACTGAATGTATAATCATGCATAAAAAATATTTCGTTCCTCTTATAATGTATTTGCAAATATCTTATTTAAAAAAAGTAGTTATAATTATTTATTTATAATATATAATATACTGTGTAAATATTTATAGAAACCGGAGGAGGCAGTGGAGGCTATGGTGGTGGTAAGTATAAGACGAAAAAATATGCATGCATTATTAGTATCTTTGTCAATTGTAAATAATTAAATGTATATTGTATCTAACCATGCATAAAAAATTTGATTCTCTTCGCAATGCCTCTCCAAATATTTTATTTAAAAAAAAGTAGTTATAATTATTTATTTATATATATAATACACTGTGTAAATGTTTTTAGGATCCGGGGGCAGTGGAGGCTATGGAGGTGGTGGTAAGTCTGAAACATAAAAGTTTGCATTTAGTATAAAATCTTATATAGAAGAAAAAAAAAATAAATATATAGTAATTTTTATCGATTTAATCTTTTGCTTGTGCAATTAATCTTTTTTATATAAATGTTTTTAGGAACCGGAGGAGGCAGTGGAGGCTACGGTGGTGGTAAGTCTAAAACGAAAAAGTTTGCATATATTATTATTAGTATCTTAGTCAACTATGAATAATTAAATGTATAATTGAATGTATAATCATGCATAAAAAAAAATTTGTTCCTTGTAATGCCTTTCCAAATATTTTATAAAAAAAAAATAAATATATAGTAAAAAATTATAGTGCTTATTGTTAGTAATAATGGCGATAAAACTTGATATCTTTACCAACTTTCGTACTTTAACAAGATTGAGTATACAATAGAATATATATTGCAAAAAATATTACGCTGAAAAATTTACGCAGCCTAGAAATAACATAGAAGCAAGTATAAATATAATCGATTAGACGATATAAGCTTAATCTAGTTAGAATTTATTAATCCTAGCTAATCCTCGTTAATAAAATCCTAGATTTCATTAATTCTTTCACATGGAACATATAAACATATTAATATATATGCTACATAGAAAAGAATAATTCCGTGAACTATATACACTTTAAAAATGCTTTTGATCTTAGCCCTTGCTATAATAATTTCTTATAGTTTAATAAGAGCATTTACATATACGTATAACTTACTTTGATTAATATATATGATCTAATAATATATATTTTAAATATATTGCTATTTCCATTTTAACATACAAATTTGATCATTAATCGAAACACTTTTAGGTAGTGATCATGGAAGTGGAGTTGGTAAAGTTAGTGGAGGTCTTGGCGGTGGTCAAGGTGCATCTGGTGCCGGAAGTTACGGTGGAAGCGGTTCTTTAGGTCATGGTGGTGGTGGTGGTGGTGGCTCCGGAGGATATGGTAATGATGGTGCCGGTGGTGGTTATGGCAGTGCTGGTTCTAACGCAGGTAGTTACGGTGGTAGTAGTGCCGGTGGTTACGGTGGTAGCAGCGGCAGCTTAGGCGGTGGTTATGGAGGTGGTCGTAAGTGTGTATATGTAATAGATTTTTTGTAATAGTTTGTATTATTAGAATCTATTGGATAAAATATTCTTGATTTTTATATTTTCGACATACATTTATTATTTTAATGAGCTGTTCAATAATTTTGCAAACTTGATAAAACAACATTTTACTCTTCTCGCTTCTATGCGTATTTATAATATACCATAAATTTAATGGAAAATAACACATGTTATTTTTTGTGATAATTAGATGGAGGGCTTGGAGGTAACTCCGGTTTAGGTGGCGGACCTGGTAAATGGAGCGGCGGTGGCGCAGGTAGCGGACATGGTGGAGGTCTAGGTGGTGGACATGGAGGAGGTTTAAGTAGTGGACATGGAGGAGGCTTAGGTGGTGGCCATGGAGGTGCAGGAGCATCGGGTGGCGGTCTTGGAGGTGGTTTGGGTGGTGGGCATGGAGGAGGCTTGAGCGGTGGATATGGAGGTGCAGGAGCATCGGGTGGCGGTCTTGGAGGTGGTTTGGGTGGTGGGCATGGAGGAGGCTTGAGCGGTGGATATGGAGGTGCAGGAGCATCGGGTGGCGGTCTTGGAGGTGGTTTGGGTGGTGGCCATGGAGGAGGCTTAAGCGGTGGATATGGCGGAGCAGGAGGATTAGGTGGAGGTCATGGAAGTGGTTTGGGTGGTGGACACGGAGGAGGCTTAGGCAGCGGACATAGCGGAGCAGGAGGATTAGGTGGAGGTTCAGGAAGTGGTTTGGGTGGACATGGAGGAAGCTTAGGCGGATATGGTGGAGGTAATTTTTGGATACAGAGAATCACAAGTGATAAAGATTCAACGCTTGAAGAAAAATGGTTAATTACTTAGAAATTAAATGTGATCATATTGTATGATATTTCAGGTGGATGTTCTGGAGGATGCGGCGGAAGTAGCGGCGGAGCAAGTAATGCTCAAGCCAGCGCTAGCGCAAACGCCGGTGCAGGTAGTGGAGGATACGGAAGTCCCGGAGGTCACGGAGGTCCCGGAGGTCATGGATCGGGAGTAGAGTATGTATCGTAAAATATACAAATTAGACATTAAATAATAGATATTTTGATCGTTTTCGACCCGAATTATCTATAACTTTCAAATAGTAATATTTCGACATTTTTATAAAATTTGTAAGAAAAAAAGATTTTTAAAAAATACAAATTCCCCAAATTCGTCCTTCAAAGAATTTCTTATTAATGTCACAAATTGTATGAGTAGAATGTCCCGAATATTCTAAAAAGGATTATTATGATTTAACATTGTGTAAAAACATCAAAATTTTGTATGCTGTAAATTGATTCGCGTAGAGTTTTTCCAATAACGGAATAGATTTCAAGGTGAACAGGTTTCGAGAGAGAATGTTTCCGTAACTCCCGTTCGTCATACAATAATCAAAGATATGCAAATTATACTTGATTATGGAAATCAGCAAGACATGGTAATTTATTAAACAAATATGTCTGGATGAGACATAAAAGAACAAAAATGAATCTTAATAGCAACTACTAATAGTATCGTTTTCTTAACACATTTTGCATGTTTCATAAAATCTTCCATTTTTAAAAGTTATTTTAATAATTTTGCTGATTTCTTATTTATATAAAACTGTGATATTATTGCAACTACACGAAAAAAATTAAAAGTGATAAAAAAAGAACATTAGAAAAAGGAATAGAAAATGTGCCTGGAGTGTAAAAAATATTCTATGCAAATAACACATCAAATATTCTACAATATATTAATAATATATATAATTCTATTTTTAGTTCTGACTTATCAAAACTTAATATCTTTCTTTAAAAGATTTTTTCAATAAGATAAACACTACTATAATATGATATTGGTATTCAAAAATTTAAAAATATATTAATGATAGATAAATGATAAATGGATATATTAATTATTTGACAATTGTTCGACTTACATTTAGAATCTCATCGCATGCTTCTTTGTTTACAGTTTATTCTCCCGTATCGGTGATACCGATGAAGGTGCGAGTGGCAATGTGGAAGGTGCCAAAGGTGTTTACAGCAGCAGCGCAGCTAATATAGATAGTTCTGGTAAAGGTACTTATTCCGTGAAAGCGGGTAAAATTCCGGCGTAATATCTGTGTTTAATTTTCAAAATTAAATATTACTTCGTTAAAAATTCTGCCGATGATTGATGAGTGTATTAGCTGTGATTATAATCGTATTTTGTGACATAAATATAATACAACAAAATTATAAAAGGTCTACGCTTTATTTACTTTATAATTGTCAGAAAAATGATTCTGTGTAAAAATAAATCTCTATGTAAATTGTGCATTTTTTGTAGTTTATTTATATTTAAAAATCCCACGCATTTGAGAAAGAGGAAAATATTGCTGCAATATATATGTATATTACGACTAAATATACCATAAATTTTTTTAAATAATTATTTAACTGACTATGAAGTCATAACATAATAAAAACATAAATCATACAAAATGAAATAATCATATGTTTCGCCATTTATTAAAGCTATCCGCTAGTTAATGACGTTTTGATTAACTGGGAAAACTGATTTCTGATTCTTATCACTACAAACGCTCATCGCTCGATGTAATTTATTCATCACGTTGCATAACCGGTGATTATAGAAGTTTGAATCTTTAATCGCGATGTATTATTCATAATGTTTTTGTCTGGACTGTATAAATCCTGTTACACATATGTTATATATATATTTCATTATTACTCGTAATATATTTATATCTCTACTTAAAAAAAAATTATTAGTAGATAAAATTCTGTGGTAATGATATATTTAACTTCAGAGATTCAACATACCTTGCGTTTATACATATATACACATTCGTCTCTCCGTACTCATCTTTAATGAATAATTCACGACAGCCTTTTACGCATATGAGAATCTGTCTGAATAAGTATATATCGATGACATAAACGGAATTTCCCCGAAAAGATATATTTTTTATTTATTCGTGCATACACGAAGAAGGAAATATTTTTGTACGCACGAAAGAAGAAAAAGGGGACGCCTGCGGAGGAGTTAGAAAGAGGGAACAGATGGAGGGATGAGGGCGAGAAATCTGTAGGTAGGAAGATTAGCTATCGAACAGAGAATTTTTAAAATTTTTCTATTGGACAGCCAATCGTATAACATTGCATTTCTTGTTGGAAAGCTTCCTTAGTTGCTAGTCTAAGTAGCTCAATTAGTCCGTGGCGTAAGAACGTCACAGTCGCTTATAGACTTGTAACCTGTATAGATCGCGGGCGATGGCGATGTCGCACTACGTAAGGTTAACCCTGACCGATTCGATGCGTGACTTACATCGTAGAACAATATCATTTGACTCGCAATTTTTATTATATCCTCGACAGCGAAAATGGATATTTCTAGATTTGCATCGCTGTTCGATATTATAAACATTTTGTCATCGTTGCAGATGCAATAACTACACTGTACGATGAAGACCAAGTCTTGGTCATGTCGACGCTTATTGAAATTAACGACAGTTTATACTCGTTTGACGAGGACACTCGCGTTCCCGATACAATCGAGCGAATTGAGGAATCGACAGTGACGTATAACGATTTCTTCTCGAAATATCTAATATGTAATAAACCATGTATCATTAATTCACAAGCAACTGAAAATTGGCCGTGCAGACGCGACTGGGTATTGAACGGTGCACCCAATTTTGAAGTGCTCCGTACATTGTTCGGTATGTGGGAAATTCTCATTGGAGAGAAAAAAATGTACTCTCTCTACATGCGTTAATTATTAACATAATTTCTATTTAATTATTAAGTTTTTAATTTCTCCAGGGGATACCGTTGTCCCGGTTGCCGATTGTAATAGGAAGTTTTATAACTCGCAATTCAAGGATGACATGCCCATGAAAAGTTACTTGGAATATTGGATCGATTATAAACGAAACAGTTATGCGAAATCTATGCCTTTATTATATCTAAAAGATTGGCACTGTGTGAAAAACTTCCCCGATATTCCGATTTACGAAGTACCTCGGTATTTTGTATCCGACTGGTTAAACGAATATTATATCGCTCACCCTAAACTAGATGATGATTATATGTTTATATATATGGGGCCAAAAGAAACATGGTAAATACATTTTCAATGTTACAACTGTTCTCGCTTGGGATTTGAAACTTATTCTCATATCGATAGATCATTGTCTTTGTATATTGAGATTGATTTAATTGTTTCTACAATGTTCAGGACTCCTTTACATGCGGATGTTTTTACATCGTATAGTTGGTCTGCAAATATAGTTGGAAGAAAGAGATGGCTATTTTTTCCTCCGCACGAGGAAGATCGTCTTCGTGACCTTTATGGGCAATTAGCATATGATGCAGTTTCGGAGGATCTTAATGATCATACAAAATATAAAACATATGATAGTAAAAAGTTGAAATGTTTTGATATAACTCAAGAAGCAGGAGAGATTATATTTGTGCCATCTGGATGGCACCATCAAGTTTGGAATTTGGTAAATAGTTGTAAGATATTTCACAAAAGGAGTTTTATTGCAGACTGATGGAAAGTTTTAATTGTGTTATTTTTTTATATAGGAAGATACAATTTCCATTAATCATAATTGGATTAATGGTTGCAATATAAGCAATGTATGGCATGCATTAAAAAAGGAGTTAAGATCCGTTATGAAAGAAGTTGAAGATTGCAAGGATATGAAGAATTGGAATGAACATTGCCAATTGATGCTTAAGGCCTCTTATGGCATGGATTATAAACAGTTTCTCGAGTTTATATCATTTATTGCTAAGAATCGTTTACATGCTATGTTAAAGAAAGATCAAGTTATCAGTTTTCGCAAGTATTATTTTGGATATAATCACTGTTTGTTTGATTTGCGAGTACTGAAAAATGTATTGGACGATATTATCACAGACGCGCAAGATCTGTCTGTGTACAATTTAATATGTGAAAATGATGAAGCACAACTTTTATTGAAAACTGTTACTTCATTTCTCGAGTCATCTTGTAACATCGAAAATGTAACTTCTCCATGATCGCGCAAAGCTCAATAAATTATTAACAAACGAAACAAATTTGTTAACAGAGACAAATTGTGATTTTTGTTTTCATAAACATAGCACTTTTACTTGATTGTTATGAGAAACCATGTCATATTTTTGTGTCTAAAATTTTATAAATTTCCTCCCTTAACTTTATTTAAATTTTCTCTTAGAAGATAACATTTTGCAGGGTCATATTTTCTTATCTTTGTACAATAAGCAAATTACATTAGACACATTATCTAATTATTCACAAATAAAATGCATCAGAGAAGTCGAAAGAAGTATCCTCAATTTTTTGAAAAAATTGCTAATATGTTTGCTATATGAAACCTATGTATGGCAAAAAGCAATAATAATCTTATATATTCTATGATGTATATATGATAAATAGAAGCTCTAGAAGCTCGGGCGTATTTTCACATATGAGCGAAATTATCTCTTTAATCTAAAGTGTAATTAAACATAAAAATATTTTTTTCCTTAGTTGAATATATATATATATACTACATATTCTCTAAATTTATAAAGATTTACAATAAAAATTTCCTATTTGAATTCTCTCTGCTAAGCTATAAGTGCATCCTAATCATGGATACATCATCCCTGCTGCTTGTAAAACAATAGTATCTTGCAAAACATAATATATATTTAGCTTTCACGCGTATTGTCTTATTCACTATCAATTATATAAGCATAAATATTCTTATATATATTTTTTTATGTATGTTAAAATAATTATACACGCGCATGCGCATATATGCCCTTATATGTACTTGTGTATGTATACAGACACAAATATATATTAGCATATATATTAGCATATATATTCGCAATAAAAAATATATATAATTTATAAGATGCAAGTATAAATTTTTCTTCAAAAAGTGCCCGATGTGATTGAAACTAGATAATATATTTTTCTAATCAAATTATTTCAGTACTGTATATATGTGTGTATATATAATTTTTTTCCAATAATATGTATTATTTATGAGTGTGCGTCTAGAGAGCCCTGTTATTCCATGTATGTGTACCTCACATATAAGTTTGCATCCTGTTTTTTTTCTTTTTATGTAATCCATCTATTCTTTCGATATATACTATATCTAATACAGATATGCTTGACATGGAAAGGATTGCAAAAATTCATCTCTTATATCTTTAACACAAGTATTCTGTCTCTTTTTAATTTGTAAAATCTCTCTAAAAAATCTTTATAGTGGGATAAATTAAATATAAAAAAAAAGGAAAGAAAAAGAGAAATAATACAAGAAACTGTAGAGAGAGAATGTTAAGTATATCTCTTTTATATATATAATATATGTATGTACAAATTTATTAATCCTCATAAAAAAATGTATGCTTTCCCTACTGACTTGTAGCTACTTACAAACTGATATAAAATATTGCACCAAAGAGCTATTTAAAATGAGATACACAACTAGCTCTTTTTTCCATGATCCCTGATACTAAAGAAGAAGATTGTCATGGTTAAAAATATGATAAACGATTTTTTCATGCGTTTTATCACGGTTTTCTGATAAAAAATTTTCTCCACGGCCACAGAAATAAACAGATACAGACGATACATCCTACCATTTACACACATTCGCATATATACACATATATCTCCCTGTACACACAATACATACACGCATATTTATTCTCGTAAATTTAAACATTTTTCTGATATCTTCAATAGTATCAATTTTCATCTTGCATAGCAAGTATATCTAATATTTAGAAAGCATCACACATGTCACAAAGTCTAATACATTGATCAACAACAATTAACCACTACTGCAAAGTTTAGACTTTCTGCAATGTGTGCTTATATATTTGTTGATAAGTAAATCTTTTATATCTCTATTTGAATTATGTGTATATGTACCTCAGTGTATTTTTCTTATAATTTTAATTTTACCGTTTATTAACAAAGTAAACAATAAAATCTTATTCCCCTGCCTTAAAGAGAAAAAAGGCCGAATAATCAGTTATCATCAATTATCGATGAAAAAATTTCTACAAGATCGTTTCAAAATGTAAATGATATTCACGACATCGAGGGGTTTTATCATCAACACATAAAGTGTTGCTGGTTATAAAGTAACGTTTATATAGATCGTTCCTCTATATATTACGTTTGTTTAATTTTTCTCTGAATATGTAACTATCTAACATTTTTTTCATTTTTACATCTTATCTTTCTTTAAAGTTTTATATATATATATACATACATACATATATATATATATACATATATGTGTGTGTGTGTGTTTCTTGTCTTAATTAATAATATAAAAACAATATAAAACAATACAAAAAAAAATTTTTAAAGATATTTTGTGTGTGAAAAAAGATTTTTTACGATTATTTACTTTAACGCACACAATTATCTCTCTCTCGTTTATTTGTACAAAATATGTAATATTATTTCAATAAAATTTTCCATCTACCTTGCATTTATATTTTTCATTTATGCTTTTATCGCTGATAAATATTTTATTAGTGATTCATGATACTCTTTCAGAGATATGCGATAAAAAACATTCGTGAAAGATA